AACACAGAAACCTCCAGGGCTGCAGGGAAAATCCCCCCTGGTCAAGCCTATGGTCAGTGGGAAGACCTTTTTGATAGGTCATTTGTTTGCTGACCAGAGCCCCAGAGCTCTAGGTAGTAACTGTATTGTTAGATGGAGCCATGGTGTCCACTGAGGATCAGAGGCCTCTTTTTTCTTTCACCTCTCATTGGATTTGATTGCACAAGGCCTGGGTTCCTGATATTACCCAAGTGAAACAGAGAAAATCATTAAAAATGACTGCTACTGGACTTCTCCTTGATATTGGAAAGTGAGGGCTTGGGGCCATTCTAGATTTGATTGAGAAAAAAATATAACCATACATCATTTATTATTTTAAAGCATCATGGAATAAATGATATGTGAAATGTAAGCACATAAATACATACATAATGCACTGTATGAAGCATTGTAAATGTTAGCACAATCTAAGTTTACAGAATTACCCAGAGGATTTGTAAACTTTTTCACTTAAAGCTGTGTGTACATAGGCTTTATTATAAATGGATTGTGATTCATCACCTAAGCAAAGCTCAACCTGTGGTTTCATGAAAATTGATGACCCACATTGATGTCTGTAAGACTATATCTATTGAAGAAAGAGGCTAGGGAGAAGAAACTGTTTAAAATGCATAAAAATATTAGTCCTCACTATAAATACTGCAGCAAATTTATGAACAAATTCACAGATGGCAAGGGCATCAGCAAAAGGGAATAGGGTTTCCAAACATCCTATTCCCAACCCAGCCATTCACCAGTTGAGGTAAAACAGACTATAAAATTAACTGTCAATAGTAGCACAAGAGCTATTCCCTATGCTAGGTATCTGCAGCACAGCACGTGGCTGTGCTACTTATCTCACTGTGTCAGGAGTAAAGTACATTTCTGAGCTGTCCTTGCCACACTTATTGGACTGAATAATAATAATTATAAATGTGGTTCTGAAAAACTGCCTTCTTTTCTATTTGATTTTGCAAAGATGCTTACCTCATCAGAGCCATCTGCACAGTCAAAATCTCCATCACACCAAAACTTTGAAGAAACACAGTCCCCATTGGCACAGAGAAAATCTTTCAATGTACAGGTATGTGGCTCTGGGGATAGAAAAATAGCATAGGGTTTTTCCATTATATGCAAATGCATTCTAAAATTTATATGCCATACAACATGAGGCAGCATTAAAGGAAAAAAAAGGAGATTAGCCAAACAGAACCAATAAATTGTTAAAGCTCTCATGAAGCATCTATGGTACATAATGTAATAATTTTTCAAATTTATTTTTAAAGTCATGAATAGAAAGTGGTATTATAAGAAAACAAGTTAAAAAAGACGAAAGATAAATTGCCTACTATTTAATAAAAACAAAGCAGCAAAGTAAAACAAAAAACATAAAAGATCATATACTTTCATACTGTAACGATGATATTTTCTATTAATAGTAGTTGGAGTTCTAAGTCATTCTATGTATTTACTTCAGGTAAGTACAACATTTTGTGTATCACTGTGCCCAAGAGCCTGTTTATTAACAGGGGAGTGAGTCTTGTCTTTGGTTCTTGACTTTTTATTATATATTCTAATGATTTTCTAATTATTCAATTTTGTCCTCAGAAAGTGCAGAGTTCATGGAACAAGAAGGGTACATGGGGTACTACTGGACATAGCAAAGTGAGTAAGGGTTGAAGAGGCCGAAGGAGACTGTTTGCTTTGAAAACTTTCTATTTATGCCATTGTTTGCTTATGCCCTATTTCACCTACCTGTTAATTTAGATGATTTCCCAGTTATTGATTTAATTATGCTGCACAATATTTCATATAGGACATAGCCAAATAGTATGATTTACTACTTGGCATACTTCCTATGTGGAATATGCTTCATCTGGACAATGAAGTAGGATTTCAGAAATTTGTTCCTGCATGTAATCAATATGACTACTTGAGATCATCTCTTGTTTAGTTTTTGTTCTCTAAACAAGACTGATACGTTGCATGATGAAAGACCTCCTCTTGTTTTCTCTATTCCTTAATTGTATCTACAGCTGTGTCATACACAATAATATTCTTATCCGGTTAAAGAAGGAATAGATAACAGGTATTAAATTCAAGGAATTTCCATATACACTAAATTTCTCCATAAAGATTGTGAATAATTCAGTCTTCATTTAGATATTGCTCTACAATCACTCAGTTTCCAGGGATAGGGTAACATTTTGATTGTTTGGTATTATGAGGGCTCCTATATTTCTATATAAAGAACCTCTTTGAGGGGCCGGGCACGGTGGCTCATGCCTGTAATC